CAAAGGAGTTATTAATGCACAATCTGAATGTTGTGCTGCACATTGATCTTGTTTTTGTTAACAATTCATTTGGACTCACGACCATTGATGGGAGTGTGAGATACCGGTGCTATATACCCTTGGCTTCGCGATCCAAAATGGCATTGTATGACGCAATTGATAAATGCTTTCGAATATATAGTGCACGTGATTTCACAGTGGAAAAGATTTACTGCGATGGGGAGTTCTGTCCGGTATTTGAACCCGTGAAAGACGAACTTGAAGTTCATATGAACTACGCCAGCAGAGGCGAACATGATCCAAAAGCGGAACGAAATAATCAGCATTTAAAGGCACTGTTTCGGGTTCACTTTCACTGAATGCCATTCAAGGCGATTCCAAAGAAGTTGACTGTGGCACTTATGGCACGAGTCGCTAAAATATCCAACTACTATCCGGCGAAAGGTGGGTTGTCTGCATACTACAGCCCGCATATGATCATGCATCAACGAATGGTTGATGCCTCCAACGAATTTGTCGCTGAGATTGGTGCCTATGTCCACGGATATGGCCATGACACCAAGAATAATATGGCTGCTCGAACGATCGAAGGTGTTTACATGGGACCCACCGACGATATTCAAGAATGGCACCGAATCTATGATCTGAACACAAAGTGCGAAGCACGACGTGCAAAACCAAGGTTCTTCCGATGACTGACCAAGTCATCAAGATTATCGAAGAAGACGCAAGATTGGAAGGAGTGACGGAATTGCGCACCTATTCCAAGCATAATGGCGAGCTAATCCTCGATGGTGATTTGCTCGCAGGAGTGGACCCAGATGAACTGTGGGATGAAAACTACGTACCAGTAAACGAAATCAAAAGACTGAGTGATGTAACCCTCCTAAATGAAAATATTCCAGATGACGAACTTGAAGAATTACTAATGGATGCTGAAGCAGACATCATGGAAGCGAGGTTCGACAGGGACAGAAACCCAAGATACGATAGCGAAGCAAATCAATATGAAGATGAGCTAGAGGACGAAATGTTTGACAGAATGTTCAAGAAGATTAAGGCTAAACAAGATGCTGAAGATCTGATGGACGAAGACTACCAAGAACACGAATGGATAACTGCCAATGAGGACATGGACTACAAAGACGAATACGAGTCTGAACTAGACGATGAAGAGACCAAGCAAATGTTAGACGAACTGGCAGCTGAGTTAGTGGAACTTGGAAAACCAGACGAAGAAGAAGTTCTGTTCGAATTTGATGACGACACACAAGAAGATGTGGAAGTTGAATCAGAAGAGGAAGATGGTGTAGCTCGCGCAGGAGTGAGATTCGCGGACACAGATAATGATGAGTCCAACACCGAAGGAATTGTAAGAAGCTACAGTGACGATGGCGTCGAAGTTGGAGCGAAACGGGTACTTCGCCCAAGACACAATCGATCCTACTTCTCACAAGGGTTAAAAATGAGACCCACTGAGAGATACAGAAGAGAGAAATCAAGATTTGGACAGGCATACCTGCAAAAAAGGAATCCGCCTGTGCCAAACGTTCTGAGAAAAAGGCGTGCGATGAGAAGAAAAGCACGAATGAAAAGACTCCGAGTCTTGCTGTATCAAGCGATTAAGAAACGAATTGACATGCGAAGAAATGGAGCACAGTTGCAAGGAAACCTTATGCACGAGCGTTCCATCCGAGAACGCGTGCACAATTTGGCATTCCAACAAGTCGGGAACACAAACAAAGGCGAATATGACGCTGACGAAGCGTTGGTAGTCGCTTGTGTTATTCAACAAATACGCGAGGGTGTCAACGGTGGTAATGGACAAGACGGAGTCTCGTTCATTCAGCAATACTATCTGAATAAAGGACTGAAAATATTCAAGGAGCGAGGTAAAGGCGCGGCCATGAAAGAACTTGACCAATTAATCAAGCGCAGTTGCTGGACACCGATCAGTATTGAGAAACTAAAACCAACCGAAAGAAAGAAGGCCGTAGATGCGATGATGCTACTTGCCGAAAAGAATGATGGAGTAACAATCAAAGGGCGGTGTGTATTCAAAGGTAACGAGACCCGGGATTGGTTGTCTCATGAGGACACTGCAAGTCCACGGGTGTAATTGATGCCCATGAAGGTAGAAACGTCATGTCAATGGATATACCTAACGCGTTTATCCAAACATTGATGCCCGAGCAGGAAGAAGGAGAAGATCGAGTAATAATGAAAATTACTGGGCTGCTCGTCGACTACATGATTGACCTAGATCCGACGTATCGGGATTTTGTAGTAATCGAAAATGGACGTCGAGTGATCTATGTTTTGATCCTCCGTGCTATTTATGGGATGTTACAGGCTTCGTTGTTATGGTACCAAAATCCGAGAGCATCACTGGAAGAATACAGATTCGTGTTTAATGTATACGATCCGTGCATTGCAAATATGATGGTCAACGGAAAGCAATTGACTATCAGGTTTCATGTTGATGATGTGCTAGCGAGCCACATGGAACAAAGAGTTCTTGAGGATTT